AGAGAGAGAGAGAGAGAGAGAGAGAGAGAGAGAGAGAGAGAGAGAGAGAGAGAGAAAGAGAGAGAGAGAAATGGGTCACACACCGTCAGGTGATGTCTGGATTCCTCGTTTCTGCTGCTGCTGTTGTTGCTGCTGTGATCCCTGTTTGTCGCCTGGAAACCGTGGCTTACCATCCCGCCCCTGTTCCGACTCTAAAGCAAGGAAATTAAAACAAAAAACATAACGCCAATTGCCGTGTTGAAACTTACACGACTGACGCTCGAACAAAAATCAGTTGCACTGGTTTTTGACTGCACACGTTGAATAAATCTTTCCATGAGGAATCAGAACAACATTATGAGTCAGTAGTATGGTATCCATGATTGAAATGATTTAATGAAAACTTGTTCATGCTACGGATCTAACGAATTCTCACCTGCACTTGCTGCCACCTGAAAGGTAAGAAGTAGAGACAATGTAATTATAACATAGGTAAAGAATTAGGTATGTTTACAGATTAGTAACACCAATCACAAAACTACAAGGTAGGCATAATTTGAATTCACGGTAGCATGTGTACGGTAGCCAAAAAATGGTAACTTGGTCTACCAAGATCATGTAGGGAAATACATATATGTACGTGTATCAGTTACTTACGGGTTTCGTTGAATCTACACTTTCTCTGCCTTGTACTATTTAAATGAAAACGAAACAGGCTTCACTGATATAGCATGTATTCAAAATATCCAAGCTTATGTCTAAAAGACAAAAAACTAGTAACTATCCTACTATTACTACTTGGAAAAATAAAATCTAAAGCAAAACATCATCGGATCCCGATTGATTTGCCTAGCAGTTCCTGTTTGTTTACAATTCATGTACCAGATATTCTAGTTCCTGTCAACCAGTTATCATTCTTAGCAATCTAAATACATTCATATGTCTTGACCTATCCACCTGGAGTGACTGACAGATCACTGCTTGGTAAGAGATGATGCCTAGCAACGAATTAATGCAAGGCTGACAATTTTTTATACGCTTATAAGCAAGTTCGGCATTACAACTGCGCATGCGCGAGTTTGCCCAGGTCATGGGTCATTCGGGATAACCAATAGGTTCCCGCCAGCTGAGCTACTGTGTATACATTACGGTCGATGTTTTTGACCGGCGTTTCATACGTACTTTCTAGTTTTGCTTCTGATTTCCAACAGTATGACAGTACTGAACTATACATTTAGTTTGTGAAGGCCTAGTGTATAGTTGCATTTGCATAAACAATTTTAAGAGAATTAGTGTTTTCAAGCCACAATGACTATTTACTAATAGTTATACTCTACGTGTGTCTGGATTAGTTCCAGGATGCATGTCGGGATCTTGTTTTGTATATCTGCTGTGTATTTTTTTATCATGTACCATGTAGAGATAAAATGTTGGGGAAAATCGTGGTGCTTTGGAACTGCCAATTATTGATAATAACATGCTAGATGAATATTTAGGAGGTGGCATATCATGGTTGCTGTATACACGATAGAGGGTTGCTTGATATCATTTGTATTTACTTCTCAGACAATCAACTCTTGCAAATATTCAAGTGAAAGAAGATAAAACTCTCTCAGCACATTCGGCATATTTCCTACATATCTCAATCGGTAAATGTACAGAAGTTCATACAACTCTTCATTTCTTTCATTTCATTTAATCATTTATCAACCATTGTTTCACTGTACATTAGCCATTAAGTTACATATGTATATGTTTAGAAGTAGTCACACATATACATAGTACTTATGTCGAGTTGCATCTCAAAACTACAATTTGATATTGACTTTGTTTCAAGTAAACAAAATAAAAATGTATTATATATACCATAAACATCAGGTTAATTCATCTCTTATTACGTTCCTCAGTTGTGTACATGTTGTGTATATGTGTGCGGTATGTACAGTGGTACTAAACACGAGAAACAGGTTTTAATAAAACATGTGGCTGATGTATTGCATTTATGTGCCTACAACCAGTTCAGCAGCGAGGTGATTGTTGAAGAACCATGTAGATTCTATTATTTCGCTCCACATTGTTTGTGTATATGCTTGTTGCGACAGAAGTAATTTTGTAGCAGAGTGCATAATACCAATGAGATCGTCATCATTGAGAAGGATAATGTGGTTAGACGCTTAACTTTGTGAACCATTATCCGTCACCAGACACATTTCAATTAACAGACTAAATGACCATGACTAGAAAAGTACATGTACAAGTATTCGAGAAATGGAAACGTTACAAATATTGCTAATTTCACACACGAGTATTACAAGTACTAGTACTAGCTGTTATTACCATTCGAGTTGAGTCAATATATGTACTATTTTTATTTGATCTGCATGACGACGTTTTTCTTCACTGGCAGTCGGTTGCAGGGACTGCTTCATGTATGATGCAGCGTAAGCAAGAGCAAGGAGTTCGTCTTTTCGTCCCGCATTTTTCAACCCCCTGTCTGCTAAAAAATGCTTCAAAGCATCGGCTTTCCATCGTAGAGAATCATCCAGTGTCATATCATCGTCATTTGCATCAGCCATAACCAATATAAGATACTAAGACGAAAACTCAGACCGAAAACGTTACTTTTACACACATGCAGTTTATACAGCGCTGCATTCGCAACGTTACTTGTTCATCCCGAATGACCTTTGACATTTCCCATGATTCGTTGTGCGCGCGAGATACCGAACTCGCTTATTAAACCAGGAGAGGTTAATCCTAACCAAGCAACATGCGTTCTGGTCCACCCGATTAGCACATTACTTACTTTGTGAACCGGGCAACGCGGGAAAGTCTTCGTTATGGATCTGGAACTCTTGCTGTGACTCCGACGTTGGCTGTTTGATCATGCCTACTGAACAGCAGGGGAAAATGAACGTCAGTAAGTTCACTCCGTTGTTCACGTGTCAGGCCGCACGAAATACGATCAAGCCACTGTTCAAAGCCGGTAAAACTGTCGCCGAGAGCAACGACATTAACGGTTGATTGTGAAGTGATCGTCTCTTGCTTAATTATAATGATCGTCTTACAAAGTGGCTTGACGATAAATGTGCAGTTACAACACACAAACAAATAATATCTTGTTTGCTATTGATCAGAATTTTACAAGCTAAAGTATTTATTTTGAATTATTTTATTTTTTTATAAGTAATAACTGGTGAATCCATTAAATAACATCAATTAATTCATTTAATTGAAACAAGCACACTATTATTATTCAGTTATATCAAATATATTAAATTAGATATCAATCCAGAATATTGAAAGAAAATAAGATTTATATCTGCACAGATTATAGGACATGCAATTCTTAATTAAAATTAAAATGTTTACTGCATATATGCGACCGCATCGAGAAAAGTACAGACTGTTAACTAAAATTATCATGAATACGATCAAACACAATAACAGTACACATGCATTTCTAAAGATACGCGATCTTCTCTATGCTACCACCTATAAATCTAATACTACACCTAATCCGACTAGATCTACGGGAATACGACGGCTTGGTAATCGAACACGGTCGGTGGGCGAGGGGAGATCTAGCGGGGATCGATGCAAGGTGCGGAGTGCGACCAACGTCGAATGAATGTAACGCAGCGCTGTAAGCTGCTGCCGTGATAGTGGGTTTACCTTTAAAGAGTTTGTGCTCACCATATGCAGTTCGCCCCATCATAGCGTTGCTCTGCATCGGTGGCGTGGAATTTGATGCGCCGGATTTTAGCGATGGGAACTCTGACAGGTCCAGACCGGCTGGGCCGCCCTCACCTGGAGAGAGAAAGAGAGTGAGAGAGAGAGAGAGAGATTGAAACGATGAAGACTCGTGAATCGCGACCGAGTATCTTTCCCGCCTCGCAGCGCTCGAGTAACAGTGACAAATTTCAAAAACTAAACACTAGCTATCGTGCACTGCTTTGATGTAAGCAAGTAACATTAGAAGTTACATCTCGTTGCAACATTCACTGGGTGCACGGGTGCACAATTAAGGAGTGGTCTCTCTGAGACTCTTCATTATCATTACAGCACTAGATGGCAGCACGATGTTTTTACTTCTCACTAGTAAACATATGATCGTGACTTCAACAACAATTTAAGTACGCTTCCTCCCTCCCTCCCATCTACCTCCTTCCCCCAGCTTCCCACCTTCCACCCTGCCTCCATCCACTTCTCTCTTGCTCCCTCCCCACCTTCTTCCTCCCTCCGTGTTCCCTGCATACTCACCTTGTGAACTGAAGCTGCTGCCTGCCTGCGCCGTGAAAGAGCGCGAGGAGAAACCGAACCCCTGCATGCCGCTCGATGCGGCGGCCGCCGCAGCAGCCGCTGCCGCCGCGGACGACGACGACGACGACGAGGAGCTGACGAGCGGGAACGCGGGACTCTTGCTCTTCTGCAGGTTGCCGAGCGGCGGTGCGATCTGCGTCTGGAAGCTGGAGCGTGAGCTGATCGGGAGCATCACCCTGTGGGAGGCGAACGACGACACCGTCGACGAAAATGAATCGTCGGCGAAAACGCGACATGTTGGAAAATCTAACACAAGAGCCGCAGAGCGTCTGGGCTCATCTGAGGTGTGTTACTATGGTTATAAATGTAACATTTAAGTCGTGCGTAGTGACACCTTTGTTAATCGCAGATATGCAGATACGCAGTTGCGTACACATCATTTTAGCAACCTTCTGCATTCTGCATACCTCCCAAATCCCATTGGTTGATACAAATCGTGTGCGTGAAACTCCTGTTTTATGGTGCATTGTGACCCTAACCCTAACCCTATTAAAAACAAATTTAATTGTTGTTATGAAATTGTTGTAATATAAATAATGTAAAAACGTCCTAAAAAAATGTCTGATATCTGACCTTTCCCCCCCTGCCCTTTGACCTGTGACCTCCAATTTCGCACTGGTGATTGGTTTCCTGCCCATCACACTATACACTGCCCATCACAATATTAAGAGCATAGGTCGAGCCGTTTAGATTTGTGCCGCAATTCTACATTTCCTTCCTATACCTTAAGTTAAGGAGGGAATGTTCCCCCTTCTTTTACACCTCTTGACCTTTGACCCCCAGCTTCGACATCCCAACTCGTTTTCGGATTACCCCCCTACGTCCCGACTTTCGAATCCGTACGTCGAGCCATTTAGATTTGTGCCCAACTGTTGACGCACGCACGCACGGACGCACGCACACACGGACGCACGCACGGACAATCATGCGACTCTACAAGCTGCATCTGACTATGTCAGATGAGCTAATAAAGTCGACCGCAGAAACAGAATAACCGCTAGAATATCTTCCCGCATCATGAAGTATGACATCACACGGATTATGACTACCAGCGTGTAAAAATAATATTGAAATTGAGCAACAATGCCCATAAGGGGTTATCTAGTTGAAGCGGATCGATCATTTTGGGGTTATGATTATGTTAGCTGGCAACGTAGGTATGAACCCAATTTTATGAACGTTGTCATCGTCACGCGCTGCAGCGATATTTCTTATCTCTCACCGCTTTGCAGTGCCTAACCCACCATGATAAAACCTGCTGGTTCACCATCTCCCGCATGTTCACACATACGATCATTAACAACGTAAATTTATTGACATCATCCATCCTTAACTCGGGGATGACGAGCAGCAATCTTACCGATTCGGTGACGGCTGCTGCTGCGGAAGTCCGGACAGGAACGACGACGCACCCACGCTCGTCGGCGTCACGTGACCTGGCACGCTCGTGCTTCGGCCAAACTGCTGCCCGATCGTACGCTGCTGCAGCTGGCTGCTGCCTGTGGACATGCGTGGAGAAGCTCGGCGTTACCGCAGTGACGGGATGAGCAATCACCGTGTCAGCACGGGGAACGAAAAAGACTTCGACGTCGGCGTGACGACGGGACGTACAATTTTGCATGTCGAATACGTGACGCGCATCGGTGCATGGAGCGAAATTAACTTCTTTTGCTGGGTGCTCACAGTTTAAAACCGGGTTCCACGACAAAAGCATCCTTTAATCATGTAATTGGTCCTGAATCATCCATAACACTGCATCTAAGCAACATCACTTCACAGCCGGAATTTCTTAGGTTTACCAACAGTGTACCCACGTAGTACTGTGGTGTGCACCCGTTAATTTCGAAAAAACCTGCTGCCTAAATCTATTTAATTATTGCTGATTAATGCAGATTGCCGCAGCGCCGCACCTGATTGTGAGCCAATGAGACTTGACGTTCCGAACGCAGAGAGCTGCGACGGTGATGGTGACGTCATCGAGTCCTTGTCTGTCCTGTGAGGGAGGTACATCGACGGATTGTTGAAGTAGATGCTCGGCTCACTGTCGTCGTCGTCGCCGTAGAAACCCTGAAACAATGCGCGTTTTTTTTTATACATAAAAACAAAATTTCGACAGGAAACTGCGTTGATTCCGCAAGTGTTCGTTACCCAAGTTCCACAATGCCATCATTGAAAAAGCATGAGAATTTCCGAAATTACTAGATCATATTCTAGATAAGAACGTGGTAGTTAACTTCTTGTTTGTAGGTTACAGCAAACTACGAGTTATTAAATTACGAGACACGAGCTCCATACAATCCACACGACTTCCCGAAAAAAAGTCGCAGAGCAGCTTTACGATTCGGATGCCGCAAGCACGCGACACCACCAAACTACGAAGTACGCGAGCTTTCAATCAAGTGGCCTCGAGTGGAAATCGCACGAGCGGCTGGCTGTGAGTAGAATCGCACTCACTCCTCGCTTCAACTTGGACATGCGCTCGGCTCCGGTCGACGTCACCGTCGTCGCGCTGCTGCCGCTGCCTATCAGGCCGCTGCTCTTCCGCGTGCCAGGAGAGAGCAGCGAGTCCGCGGGGGCAGACTTCCTCCCACTCGACATGCCGTACCTGCAACACACGACATGGTTACACACACAGGTACAACAAAGTAACATACACAGGTACAACAAAGTAACATACACAGGTACGACACAGTTACACACACAGGTACGACACGGTTACACACACAGGTACGACAAAGTAACATACACAGGTACAACACGGTTACACACACAGGTACGACAAAGTTACACACACAGGTACGACACGGTTAGTGCTGCAACATGCTAGACTCAAATTTCGATACGTACTGCGTTTCACCAAATTAGAGTTTCTGTAATGGGAATTTAGATTAATCTCATATTCATCTTTCAGGACCACGCCGAGATTTTTTTAAGAACAGATTTTTCCTCGTGTATAAAATGACCGACATCATGAACTTACTGGGCAGCACTCCACGCTGAGAACTGATCCTGCATATATGTACTGTTTGTCGTGTCCATACCGCCAACTCCAAACCGTCTGTGAGAAACAGATTATATACGTTACATAAAATAATATAGATATGACATCAATTACATACAGAATCACCGAAAATTGCTGCACACAGGCTACTAGGATGACTTGTAGTTGTACATATGTTGTCTTATAGCAGCAGCTTATTACATACACAGCAAATAGCCTAAAACTACCTAGCTGAGCAATGTGATAATTTTTTTCTGACTTCTAGCACTTTATGTTATATTCTTCAATCGCGTGCCTTGTTGTGGTAGACGGTGGATATGCAGCTTAGAATGAGATGGATATTATTATTGTTACATTATAGTACTTACTGGCCACTTCCTGCCATACTGTCCAAAGGGTTGCGGCTAAATGCCATTTAGCTATTGTTTTGCTCTTCCTGAAATAAACAGCAGCCGATTATGTAACACACAAATAGGTGAAAAAGCACTTGACTATAATTCTATCAAGAGCGTATAAAGAAGGAGAGCGTACAACGGTGAAATGCTGAAACCATGTTGCAGTATTAGTCAAATTAATAAACTTTCCCCGTTTTATTTTGACGATTCTTTGTGGTATTATTGATCAGCTGTCCTACCTTGTTAATATAAAACAAACCGCATGCGTG